TTTCTATATATAATTTCACTCTCCCTTTGTTTAATAAATATCTACCCAAGAATTTCAAAAGAACTTCCATTGTTCTAACTTTACAAATTAGGAAAAAAGTTTGTCTTTTCATTGTGAAGTAGTGATGTCAGTGGAGTATTGATAGCTCACTTGCCAATGTAACAATAATAATAATATTACAATTATATTTAATTGTTGCAATTATAGCTATTGCAATAATATGACTATACTGGGCATTTCCCATGACAGAAACCATTCACTTAAAAAAAAGATTTTTGGTTGGATGGTTTAGTCACTAAATCCACCCCAACTAATGGGTGGTAAAAGGCTGGCCTTCGTGGACAATGTTTCCATTCCTTCTACAACATTTTACTGTAGGAAAAATATATATTCTACATACAAATATTGTAAGGGAGGCAGGCGTAACTGGTAATGGCAGCAGTAAACCATGCATAAGACAGGTACACCCAGGAATGGCCCTGGTAGGTTTCAGCTGCACTTTTATTTAGCAAAAAAGCAAACAGACAGTTTCAATACAGGGGGCTTTGTACAGTAAGTCTAGAGCCTCAAACAACAAAACACCTGCTCGTTCGACCCTAACTAAACTCAGGTCAGTTCAAGGCCAATTGTGTGCCCCAACACAAACTGGCAGCACTCAGCCTTTTCACCCAGCAGCACTGATTCATTGATTTTACTGTACCTAACTTAAATATTGACACTCATGAATTACACAGTCTATCAGAATAGCTAATGCTACGACTTCTTTCCACCAGGTGGGAAAATGGGAACTGGAGCTCATGCAGCTTGAGTTGTGGCGTTGGATTACAGACCCGAGATGTGTTCTGTTCTCATCTGCTGTCCCGCGAGACAAATGAAACTGTTGTTTTGGGGGATGATGTCTGCAAACAGGTTAAACCTATTTTGGTGCAGGCCTGCAACCGCTTTGACTGCCCACCTTCCTGGTACACTTCAGATTGGAAACCGGTAAGACATGATATCCATCTAAATGTTATGAAGAGTGTTCTTAATTGGAGTCTAACATTTAGAGATAAAGTAGCGACTGCTGTTGATTATGAGGAACCTAGAAGCTTTGTGTTTTTTAGATGTAGCCTGGGGCTCTGTTGTGACTCATACTGTGTTTTAGTGCATTGGGAGCCGTAATCCTGGTGTATCACCTATCAAATAAAGACCTAATAGGGAGCATTGTGTAAACATTGCTTTACTCTACACATTTTAAAGGCTCCACCCTCAGGTCTCTTCTCATGTCATATCATTTCTCAGTACAAAACTTTTCTCTGCATATTCACCCACTGGGCATATGGTTCAAGCTGTTTTCTATTTTAAATGTTTTACTTCTGGTAATGTATGTTGTTCTTAACCACACAATAAATTAGCTATATGTTGTCTACACCACTTTTCCCTGAAAATGCTAGCTGCTTGGCTGTTTTGTAGACATAATGGCTTTAATGCTTTTTGAGACAGAGAACAGAAAACATTAAAGACATAAGAAATGGCATGACCCATATTTCTCCTTTAAATTGGATTTTCAGAAAATTGGATTTTTGACTTAAATCCTGTTGTTTGAGTTCATTAGGACCTAAATGATCCAGTGGGGTGTGCTCTGACTGGAAAGGGTGAAATCCTGTCTCTAAGCCCATAGGTTTGGGTAATGAGCTGTCTAATCCACCTAGGGATGGTGGAAAAAATCAGGTTATCTCTTACAGTGACCCTAAGGAATGATCAAAAGAGAGTCAGTCAAATGACACCATAACCGAGCGGTAATCCCTAACAGCATGTACCACATCGAGACAATGGATGTGGAGTAAAGCACTCTGTGGCAACTCACACATTACATTAAGGACATGATTTTTTAAATTATCTGTCCAGATGCTGTTTGCACAGCCACTTAATGGAGCTGAGGAGCATAGCAAATGCTTATGCTCCTCAGCTCCATCTAGTGGCAGGCTGGGAGAATGATTTTTAATACCATCACCATGTGTCTAGGAGAGTGCCAAATTACAGGCCGGCTCCATTTGTTCCTCACAGTGGGGACCTGATACAACCTCCTTGGCTATGCTGAGGATCAGCCAATCTGGAAAGCTGCAAAATGAGTACTTCTGGCTCTGCATAATCTGTAGAATCTTGATAGAATCAAAAGGATCTTCAAAAAAAGGATAGACGTTAATAGAAATGGGTTTGCTTCTCTCTCTCTCTCTCTGTCTCTCTCTCTCTCTCTGTCTCTCTCTCTCTCTCTCTGTCTCTCTCTCTCTCTGTCTCTCTCTCTCTCTCTCTCTCTGTGAAAAAGTTTTAGATTCTCTGCCATGGAGAAATTTGAAATTTCCCTAAACTTCCTGTCCCTTTTCACTTCCTGTCCCACTGAAATGAGAAACAAAAGTTTATATACTGTATATTGATTTTTTTTTCTGTACTGAAATAGAGGCTACGAATAGAACATATAGTATCCATATCTGCATGAATCTCCTGGCTGTATTTGTTTTAAACACATGTACATTTCTGGTTCTTATATAAATTGTTTACAAGAGTCTGATTTATAGTATCCCCACTCTTATTTCCGACATCATTTAAATGGGGGAATACACACAAACAGGTGAAGGATTACATATTTACTTGTTTATACTACAAAGAACTTTCCCTTTGTAAAAATATAGGGTGGGAAAATATGGAGAGTTGAGAGATCTGGATGCATTTAAAAGCCGTATTTTGGCAGATTCATTTATTGTAATCAAAGCTTATATCCTTCAAGATGATAAAGAAGCTCTATAAATTTAAGCCTGTATTTATTTAAAGTTTGCCGATTTTGGGGCCATGCCAGTCAAAGGGTTTATCTTGATTTCAGCAACATTTTATAGGGAGAAGCACAGTGCCAAACACAGCAGAAAGACATTAACTCTGTCTTCTGTTACCTTTGCATCTTCATTTCTCTATATATAGAATTTAGAATATAGAATATATATTTCTCTATAATTTAGAATTTAAAAAAAAATCAGTTTTGTAACAATATATAGGAGCAATTAATTTCTTACATCAATGAGACCTATGGCCAATTTATATACAAACTCCAATGGGACTCTTCAGGTGCTATCTTGGAAAAAGATCAGTAAAGGAGCATTATTTAATATGCTGTACCTCTTATTTATTTTTTAAATAAATATGAGATATATTAAATATTGTTCCTTTACTGATCTGTTTTCAATACGGCACCTGAAAGTCCCATTGGAGTATGTATATAAATTGATCATAGCATTTTGGCCATTCAAGCATTTACATAATCTTAACAAGCAGCAAATATGGTTTAAAACAAGCTCTTAAAGTGGACCTTTATCCTCTTTGGCTAAAAATCACATCGGCATACTGTTCTGCATGCTGATATGAAATCATCTTGCATTCATTAACTAAACAAACATATTTTTTTTTTACTTACAATTAATTTTTTCCCACTTCCTTTGGCACAAATGATGTAATCGTGCCCAAGCATTGCATCCTGGGAAGGTAACATCAGCAGAGCATTGCTGGGAAATCTCATCTGTAATCCCATTTTCCTCCCCTGCATGGTCACATGTCCTGGTCACATGTTCCAGAGTTCCAGGAAGTAAAGACAGATCTAGTAATCTGCCCTTAGTTAAAATGGCCACTGTCAGAAGACTAGGAAAGGAAAGAAAAATAAGGTATGCAAAAAATAAAAAGCCAGCAAATATCTGCAAGTATTTGTTTGTAGATTGCCATTACTAAACATTTCTAAAGTTGCCTTTGTTTTAATTTTTAAGATATGGGTTATGCTCCTCTTTAATATTTGGGTCAGAGCGGTGTACCTGAATAGACCAATGAAACCTGACCATAAATTAATCTGTAGTATTGACAGAGTTTAAATAAATAGTTAGCCATCTACAAAGAACACTTCACCTCCACCATTGTACCTGAAATGAGAACTTCAGTTTACACCTACAGCACAACCTGCAGAGATACTGGTACTTAGTTATGAATTCACATAGAAGGATGTCCAAGGAACACCACTATATGTGATATGATAAACCTTTCCTCCACTGTGGCCCTAACAGAAACAAACTGTTGTCACCCCACTGTTTGAAATGCACTTTCACTGGCCTAGGAAGATAGAGCTCACTTGAACAGGTATAGCAGCATAGATATAGGTATTTCTATGATTTCTGCTGCTATGAAAAAGATGAACATATGCTTCCACACCGAGATAACTAATGGCAGAATCAGCATTGCTCTGTAGTTTATAAGAACATTGCAGATGTTATTATTATGATATTATTAATTAGTATCAGGGTTCCAATTTAAAAGTTTGTAAGACAATCTCTGTTTTTTTTTCGTGGAATTTTATTTAGGTGAATACATGCAGACAAAATTTTTTTTAGGATAAGCAGCCATTTGGGACTTTGCCACATTGTTTAATGTCATAAAACTTTCTAAAATGCACAACAGAAAGGTTGAAAAACAAATTTTGTGTTGATTTAACTCTAGGGCATGGAAAACCTCATGAGTCATTCCATGTCAGCACAATGAGAATATATGTCTATATTAGATTTTCCATCTCCAATACAATCATTATGCTTAGTATTCAGAATTGTGGAAAAAATGTCTATTCCTAACCAGTTATTCTAAAATGTCAAATTTCCTTGGCAGACAGCTTGTTGTCTTTTTTTTTATATAATATAGCTTTTTTTATTTTGTTAGGGGCCATTTTCAGTGAAGATTATTTCTAGTTGGTTTCTCTGGTTGGTGTTTTTTCTACACAGTAGACTATAGTGTTTAGGTGACGAGAGCTGTACTTTGTCACTTGTCTTGAGTCAATACATGTACTGTACCTATATCAGTGATTGGAAAGCAAAAACAAAACATTAAAGGAGAACTATGGGGTTAAGGCTTTTCCCCATAGTTCTCCTTAGGGTAACGGGAGGACACAGACTAGCGTCCTCCTGTCACCCTAAGCTCAGTATACCGCAAGCTACAGCTCTCGGTATATACTGAGGCGCTGAAGCAGATCCCAACAATTATGTCTGAATCCACCCAGCTGCGTGAGTGACAGCTGTCTCTGCCTATGTAGAGGCAGAGCCAGCTGTACCCGCCCCCTCCCCCGTCCGATCTGCCAGTCAGCACTGGCGGGTCGGAGCGGGGGGTGTCCAGCCACTCCCCTGTCACGGCAGAGAGCTGTGGCAGGATCGAGAGGTGAGAAAACACCGGTATGTGCTTGCTCACTTCTCGATCTACTGAGCCAACCTGTGACAGCCTCATTGTCACAGGTCGGCTAGAACTATGAGGTGAGTGAAAAGCACTCACCTCATAGTTCTCCTTTAAACTACCTTTTTTTGAACAAATTATAGAAAAAGCTAAAAATAAAGAAATCTGTCACTGGCTAAAACTAGCATTGTAATTGCATTGTACTCCTGAGCTCCACAGTAATACTAAGTTTTAACAGCACCTTTTGGGCTCAAAACCCCCAATTTCCATGCGTTTAAACGTTTATTGTAGGATAAAGTTCATTTCTTATTTCATTAGGTTTAGCACTTTAGGCTGAAGGTTCTTCAGGCAGCTCTACGTGTTTCTATTGAGCAACCTCTGCAACCTCTGTAACCTCTGTTACTCTCTGTTACAACCTCAACCTCTGCAACCCCTGTGGGGTTGTGGACCCGACCCCCCCCCCAAGTTCAAGTTTAAATATTAACGTCAGTCCTAGCTGAACTAAAGGCCCGTTTGAGTCATCTTTCCTACTTTCTGCACTATTATCTTTAGTTCAGCATTAGCTGGATGGAATGTGCACACATGACAGCATAAGGTGTATGAAAAATATGAGAGTATATATCCTGTCAGCTAGGGTTTTCTCTGATAATGTCTATTGGTACTGCATTTACTGTATCTCTAGTTAATTGTTTATAGGTCTTTTGGCTGGTAGGTAAATGTAGCTAGAAAGTAATAATAATAATTGCATTCTATCATATACAGGTGCAGAAAATTTGCTTTCCACTCCATTTTGCTACCAATTTCATGAATGGTTTCTTATTCAGTTGCAATGCTTTGTATTCTTTCCATATAACTATGCTTTTACTTTGCAGTGCTCTCAGTCATGTGGTGGGGGTGTTCAGACTCGGGAGGCCCTCTGCAAACAAAGACTTTCTGATGGCAGCATTTTGGAAATCCCTGAAACGTTTTGCTCATCTGCAAAGCCTGCAACACAAGAGTTATGCCAAAATGAAGACTGTCCACCAGAGTGGTCTCTGAATGACTGGTCTCAGGTATGTAATATTCAGATTAGAACAGACCTTTTTTAATGCTTTACATTTATTTCCTGCTTGACGACCTTTATGTTGAACTTAAAATATATTAATATTTTCCTTGTGAAAGCTGAATGTGCTTGTTGCAAGATATTTACACAATCAAAGGCCTTTCCAGATAAACTGTACCACCAGGAAAAGGAAGAATCCAAAGTGCCATTGTTTTGTGAATAATATTCTATTTTAATGCAATATTAATTTGTACTGTATCTGACTTTTAGTGTTCAGTTTCATGTGGAGAGGGGACACAAACCCAAGGAGCTGTTTGCAGACAGAAGGTGAAAACAGCAGAATATATTATAGTGAATACCACTCTGTGTCCAGGTTCCATGCCTCACCAGATGACCCGGGCTTGCTCAATGACACCATGCACAAGTAATGGCAGGTTCTATTATTTGTTTTATTTAGATGATTTTTTTTGCGCCCTTTGTACATTAGTAATGACATAAATGACTCCTCTCATAGGCTGACCTGTACAAGAGTCGCTGTACCGCAACAGTGAAAGGTGCAACTATACTTCACAGAACGGGTAGCATCTTGACAGTATAAATGTTTACTTACTGTGACATATGTCTATATAAAAAAAAAAAAAATCTACCATACAATGAGATGAGGACCCAGATCTTGAAAAGGTTTTGAATTTCTAGTCAATTTATCAGGATATGGTGGGGCTAATAAAAGCAATCATATCTTGAACTGACATACTCCAACAACCCATAGGAATTATGACAATTCTTGATTACAGATTATACAGCCATAATGAACAACATGAACTGATTCCATACATAAGTCTACCTTGACATAGTATTCCTAATATATCCTTAGGCAGCTTTCCTTGTTGTCAAATATATCAGTGCATTAAACAAAATATTTTACTGCTGCCCACCGTAATAAAATGTTTAGTTACTGCGTGGTTACTATTCTGATCCAGTGACTTCAATACGTTCTTAAGCTGTTAAGCTGGCCATATAATGCCCTTATCCATAATGAATAGCATGGATAGGGGAATATCCTCTGAAAGGCTATTGTATTCTGACAGTCGATGGCTACAGTTGTCGGAATGCCTGAACAGTGATTGGCCGACAATTTTTGACCCAACTCCTTTGACAAAAGTCGATTGAAAAATTTACTTTTGTCAAACAGAGTGGTGCTGCCAGGGCCACACACAGCTTAAATTTCAAATTCCAGCAGTATATGGCCAGCTTTACTCAGTTACATGGAACACAGATGCAAAAAAATAAGTTCTTGCCCTGGTCCACAAGCGACACCATGTGATTATATAGTTTTATGGACGACATTAGCACAACTTGGGTGCTAACCAAGTTGTACCAGTGCTAAACTCTGCTTTTGGAAATGCTAGTTTCCTGGGTGAATTTCTTTTGACTTCATTATCTTCATGCTTATAGTGGATTAGTGATTCAGAAGGCAAAATACAGCAAAACACCCAGATTTTTTTATGAGGTCAGAAAAACTAAGCCTATATATTTTTCGTGGAGCAGTTTCCTTTAATGCTAAACTCTAGCTAAAGCTTAAGTAAGGTTTAGAGCCTCTTTCATGTTTTTATTGCTGACTGGGGGAGATAGAAATCTATCTCATGGGGCAGAAACCGCAACAAGAACTGGTATTTATTCTCACTACTGAAGTCACAGACCATACTTAAAATCTGACAGAAGTTCTGACCCTTCTCCACACTACTCAAAAATAAAAATGCCTTGCATTCAGCCTTAAAGTTAGGGCAGAAGAGGTTTGAGCAAATAGATTTAGCCATAATAAATGGCTACCAGTAATTTAATTAGGTAAACAACAAAGATGAAGTATAAAGGCTATTGATGAAGATTCATGTATTCGGTATATATGCACTAAGTGTTATTTTTCATATTTTAAGGACCCTGGCATGGTCAGAAGATGACCCCTCAAATATCTGGCCTGAGAAAAATCTACATACAAACCAAAAAGCAAAAGAAGCTGCAATTTGTTGTTGGTGGCTATGCATACCTCCTGCCTAAGACTTCTCTCGTACTTAGGTGTCCTGTGCGTAGGTATCGTAAACCTCAAATAATATGGGAGAAAGATGGAAAACACTTAATCAGTTCAGAACATGTTACTGTGGCACCACATGGATATGTTAAAATTCATAATCTCAGGCCATCAGACACTGGAGTCTACACATGCATGGCTGGGCCTAGTCAAGAACATTTTGTCATCAAGCTCATTGGAGAGAACAATAAAATTATTTCTCAGACTTCCAGACATAGAGAAGAAGACACTGTCAAAAAAAACAGAAAGAGTGATTCTTTTAATCGTCCGGAAAAACAGCAAAATTCTAATCTTTTTAACCGAAGTAAAACTGAAAAGCAGATGCAGATAATGGATCCTAGTAGCCGCTATGATAATATTGTTTCACGTCTTCTGACGCTAAAGCCTTGGTCTGAGCATCACATGGATCCATCTGACCCTCAAGAATCTTTTGAGAGAAATATCTCCTCGGAGGAAGATCATGGTTTAGAGCATAGTGTACCTAATACTTTTGTCACTGATGTGAAGCATGTAGAAGACGTAATTAGGTTATTGTCTCAGCAACCTGGTGAACTCCATGACAACAGCAAACACCTTTTGTCACAGCTGGCTCATGAGTTGGTTAAAAGCCGCCTAGAAAACCATGGACCCCCAGTTTTCAAGCCAGAGCCTAAACAGCTTGGTCCAGGTATTTCAGAGCATTCATTGTATAAACCTGTGTCTGGTTTTTCTAGCTCATGGAGGTCATCATCAATGGAAGCAGAAGTGTTTGAGTCACATGACAGTCTTCTAAGCCATTCTCTCAGGAAGCCAGTTATTCTCAGAAAGATATCTGCAGCCCAACATTTTTCTGCTTCTGAGGTTGTCACCCATATTGGACAGACCGTGGCACTGGCTAGTGGAACCCTCAGTGTGTTACTTCATTGTGAAGCTGGAGGAAACCCTAAACCAGTTATTAGATGGGCTAAGAATGGAGAAGAAGTGAAATATAGTAACAGGTAGTAAAAATACCGTTTATTATTACTCCGATGATGTTAGTATTCGCCTGCCATGAGTTTTGTAGTTTGTTCACTGATATGCCACATGAATAGTAAACATTGTATCCTGTTTATGGTAGGATCTTGAAATAAGCATTCATATTCTTAATGCTAAAATGACATGAACACTATTTTCTAGTGAAGAGAAGTCAGCAAAACTTCCTATTTATAAAATTAATGTCAGGTTAGAAATGTTAAGGATGCCTCCATGTTGTTTCTTATTGTAGGAACAAAGATATGCACGGTCTTGTAGAGTGTGTTTAGCTTTTAGATATGCTATCTTTATGTATGATAGACTAAAGCTTAATTAAACATTCATTATAAAGCAGCTAAATACAGTCCAGGTGCAAAACAAAAGATGTTCAAAGTATTACAGTTCATTTTCTTTAGAAGCCTTAGTAGGAGGCCAGCATGGTGCAGAGAAGAACCCTTGCTCTCTGTGTGGAAAAAGCAGTCTCTCTGCAGAGGTCTGACAGGCCCCCTGCAAAGTCAGACCTATAGATCTTCAAACAGCAAAGCTCATGCTTCCTGCTGATTGGACAGCTCTATCTATGACTCAGAAGGGGGTGTGTTGGACCTCTACAGAGAAGACTATTGCTTCCTCACAGTGAGAAAGGTTCCTTCTCTGCTGCATGCTGGCAGGGGACAAGCTTTTCTACTCAGGATGTGCCTGCTTCTTAAAGAAAATAAACTGTAAGACATTATGCACCTTTGTTTTGGCACACCTGGAATGTATTTTGTATAGCTGATTTAATCTGAAAGTTCATTTTGGCTTTAAGACGTGAGAATTGTAATTTCTTTAAAGGGAACTTGGACTTTTTTTTTTCTACGGAAAAGCAAAGTTTCAGTGTCACATTTAGATACTGTCATTTTTTTGTTGTTAAGTCCTTGTTTATACCAGAATGTGTTCGTTAGTGTTCATTGCGTTGACATGCACCACACATTGTGATTTTAAAAGAAACATTGGATGGATTTCAAGTGAACACATCCAAAATTTAGAAAGCAAGCCCTTTCTCATAACATTGCTACACAAGACATTAGTGGCAATGGGCCATATAAAAGAAATGTAGAAGTTTATGCTTTAGTGTCTGCGCTAGAAAATGCAGGAAATGCGTGACATTTCATTTTGTGTAAATAAGCCCCCAACATGCTATTATTGTCCACTAAAAGTAGCTTCCAGGGGCATTACTATAAATCTATAGTGGGCTTTGCAGGGTCTCTTACCTATCAGCCCGATCCAATCCCCCTCTACGGTCGCCGGGCCCCAACCCGGACCCCGCCTCCTCTGCCGCTGGCGAGCCCTGCCTCCTGCGCTGCCGATGCTGGGCCCCACCTACTCCTCCGCTGCCGACACCAGGCCCAGCCTCCTCCTCCACAGCTGCTGGCTGTCACTGACTCAGCAGCGGCTGTGAGGAGGAACGCGTCACTGCACAGATCTCTGACAGGTTGTCAATGATCTGAACAGCGGCACATTTCTCCTCACAGCTGCCAGTTACAGCCAGCAGCCTGCGATGCCATAGCAACCCAGGCGGCCCACACGGCATCACGGGGAGCCCTTTGTTTCTCATCCTGACCGGGCCCCCCCTGTGTCCTGGGCCCATAGCGGCCGTCTTGGTCGCTATGGTGATAGTTTCGATAGTTTTGTAAATCACTGAACAAAATACTGCTGATCAACAGAATTGCTAAAAAGTTATATAGTATTATTGACAGTAATGATTTTAAAGAATTAAAATCCAACTCCAGCTCAAACCTCTTTATATTTTTACATTAGGCTGAAAATGATCAGAACAGGGGTGAAAAGTACAATGGGGACAAAGGCAGCAACAAAGACACCTACTTTGTAGTAACGTGGGAAAGAATTAGGTTTTTTTTGCTGCCCCTGCCTTCCTATCCTGTTGATACCTGCTCCCCTCATTTATTGTGATGGCGTTACAAAGACAAAGTTAGAGATCTATCCAATGTAGTCACAGACAAACAATAAAAATGTGTTAGAAGTTTTAATCCCTCCCCAGTCTATCCAAAAGTTCAAATTAAACATCCTAAGACATATTTAAAAGACAACTAATGCCAAATCTTTTTTTGGATTTAGTCTTCTTTTGGTTCACAGGAGGACATTTACTAATGTCCTCCTGTGACCCCAAACTCAGCAAATAAGGGGCAACTGCCCGCTATATGATGTAATATTGTCAGGATCCACCCCGCTGCCTGATTGCACTCAGCTCTTTCTGAGCACTTGCTGTGTGTTTACATCAGAGAATAGAAGGCTAACAGTGCCATGTCACTGCTGGAAGGAGTAGCTGAGCTACAAGAGAAAGCAATACATTTTAAGGATGAATAAATTCACAGTGCCTATTGCTACTGTTTGGTGAGGGCTTGTTTTAAAGTTTAATTACTGCTTGTTAGGAATATGTAAGCATTTGAATGGCCATAGCCTGGCCCTAGTTCTTAGGGATATATATTTTTAAATGTCTCATTGTTTTTACATCATTTTAATCTTGTGTTCAATTGGTATGTTTAAACAGGATCCTCTTAAAATCAGATGATTCTCTGCAAATACTAGAGCCAGTTGAAGCTGATGTTGGGTTCTACACCTGTAATGCCACTAACTCTTTAGGCTCTGCTTCGGTGTCTATTGCCATTACTTTAGCAGGTATGCTACTTAAGGCTCTGGCGGATGAAGTTTACTTTTATATATATATTTGGAAAATATACTTTATTTTTAAGTGTTCTTCCTGAAACTGCCATGCAAATCTTAGTTGAGTTTTATACCGGTGAGGAGACATTGAGTTGTTTGTTGATGCTGTTTATCATGATCATTCCTGCACAAATGGTATCACCTTTGATCACACTCAGGGCTAGTTTACACCAGCCTCAGTGCATTCTGGCCTGATTATGTCCGGAACGCACTGGATCGCATTACGGCTAGCTCACTTTGTTTTGGGATGGAAGGGGGTGTGGCGGTGCATTGAACTCAATGGCACCTCAGCCACGCCCTACGGCCGCAGTGCGTTTGGTTACAAGGGAACACGTGGCACATAAGTGCCTGAGTTCCGATCTGGTGCAGTCAGGAAAAAATGCTGCATTCACTTTTTTTCTGACTGCACCGGAGCGGTACGCAGGCACTGTGGCTTGTGTAAACTAGCCCTTAAGAGATATGTGTTGTTGTTTTCATCCTGCAATTTCAACATTAATACCAGAGTAACATGTCATCCCTTGTTATTTGTGTAGTAACTGCTTAAGCTGGCAATACACATACACTGTTCTATTTTTCTCGTTCAACCCGCAGGCTGAAGGAAAAAAATAGAGCAGATGCATTCATCGACACTATACAAGCATTGATCGAGGAATCCCCTGCTGTTTCTATTGTATTTTGACAACAGCCGGCTCATTGTCTGCCGGATGTGTTTGTTTGAAGATTTTCCGACTGGCTCCTTCGATCAGCTGATCGAGGGATGCCAGCCGAAAGGGTGCTGACAGCGAGTTCCTGAAAAAGCGGCCAAAATTTGCATAATGTATGGCCAGCTTTAAGCTGATGAAACGTAAGGCTTCTAGATTGTTTAATGTGCATAGATGTTTTTATTTAAAAAGCAAGCCTCTTAAGTAACATTAAAATACATGTTTACTAGAATTTGTCTAATCCAATCTACCCAATAAAATATACCAGCTATATAAAACAGATGGATGTCTTACAGTATATATAATGTAATTGGCATTTACAAGTACAGAGTATTATATTTTCTTTGTATATTTACCTAACAGAAAATACTAACTGGCTTCTCTTATAGAGCAACTGTACATTAAAGTAATTCGCAGCTGACACATCTTATAACCTTTAAAGTAGATTTCCATGCAGATTTTAAAACAACACTAAGTAAAGGCTATCTATGATGAAACACTAAAAATAAATATGTATTTCTCTATTGAATCTCCATATGTTCCATCCCACCCGTAATAACCATATCCATCTAAAAGTCTGTAAACTTATTGAAGATGCCCCTAGGATGTACTTCTTCAATGAACTGACACAATTTCACTCAGCACTGTGAATAAGCACTTAATTGTGTCACTGCATTCAGAACTACAACTCAAAGTCTGAACAATATAACATTATCATTGCTTGCTAGAAACAATGCATGATAGTATATGTAGTCTTCGGAAAAGATTGCATCATATCAAGCAGCAGGGAAAGAGACGCAAAACACACGGGGAATGCAGGAAATTGATGAAAGTGAGGGGCAGACAGAAGGCAGTACTCAATACATAATAAGGATTTTCTCAAGTAAGCTTTCATTTCATTATCAAAAACTCCTCAAGTATGTATTCCTGTTTCAATGCTGATGTTATAACAGGATACTACATACTGGGACTTTACAACTCCTTTAATGCAATTATATATTTTAAAAAAAAAGTTTAAAAAAATTTAATACAACTATGTAAGTATTTGACTTGGTATCAGCCTCAGCTTTGTAAAAGTAAAGGCAGTAGGAGGAGGGCCGGACACAATGTATGCAATGTAACATTCTAACAGGAGAAGAGAACACAGTGAGCAGATAAATGAGTTCATCAGTCTTCTGCTGCTCTTTGACTGTCTAATCACAGACCAAGGGCTAGAAAGTGACCTAGATCAGTGTTTTTCAACCTTTTTTTGGGTTACTACACACTTTTAAACTATGCAGAATCTGCAAAACTATGCAGAATCTGGAGGCATCCCATTGTAAGGCCCTGTTCATAGTTTCGGGGTGCATTACTGCATGTCTCGATATGCCGCGTATCAGTCCATTGACTTGATAACGTACTGCACTTATACAAATATAAAGGGAAGAAAATATACAATGTGGGGCCCCAAAGTCTCAGTGCCAAATGTGTGAATTACAAAGAATATGGATTGAGCACGGCGTCATTTCTCCCCTCCACTGCCCACTTGCAGTATCAAAATATTAAGTTGTGGCCGCAGATAGTGTCTTTACCGACCGATGATGTCTTCAGCTGCAACGAGGCTTTAGGGCAGCTTTTACAGGATAGTAGCTTGTGCTGCAGGGACAGGGGAGAGGCAGCAAAGATTGCTGTGCAGGCCGCACAACAGCATTCAACAATGACACTGGTTGCTAGGGAGCGAGCGGGGGGTGCCGCAAGGTACTCACTTAATCCCTTAAATGAATAAAATTGCAATTTTTGACTCGTTGAAATAAAAAAGAAAATAAACTAGTTCATCAGGTTAAACTCCAAGGCCCAACCATAAATGGAAGATACAAATAACAACAAAATAAAGAGAATATAGGTTCATGGAAAAATACAAACTCCTTTAATGCACATTCTTATAAAAAGACACAATAATCCCACCTGCACAATAACTTTCCCAGAGTGGCCGCCTGCAGGTAACCATCTGCGACGTCATTACGCGATTTTGTGATGGCATCTCAGCGGGGTGTGACCCCACGGCCGCCCCGGGTGATACCTCACCTGGGGATGCCCCTGGCTCCAGATTTTGTGTGCTCTAGTTTTCATAAATTCAACCCAAAGAGTCCAGAGTAATAAATCATGCAAGCTGTAGGGAATAATGTGCATTTAAGAATGTTCTGAAATGTAGCAAGTAATCGGCTGGCTTAATCAGCAAGTAATATACTGCGGGTAACATCCCAGTCCTTGTGTAAAAATGAAACATAGATGCAAGTGACAAGATTTTAGTCGTGAAAGGATCCGCTCACATAGAGACACTTACGAATGATCCCATCAAAACCACAAATTGTGGGGAATTTATCAAAACTGGAGCAGACAAAAACTGGAGCAGCAGTGCACTGCAACCAATCAGCCTCTCTTTTCAGTTTGTTCAGTTAAGATTTGAAAATGAAAGAGAGAAGCTAATTGTTTGCCATGCACAGCTGCTCCAGTTTTTGTCTGCTCTAGGTTTGATAAATTCTCCTCATTGTATTTTTCATCCAGCTGTGGTAGTCTGCATAAAGCCTCCAAACTGACACTTTGTTACCTGCTTGATTCCTAGCAACCAATGACATCATTGGCTGCTAAAAAAAAAAAAAAAGCTATCAGTAGCCACAATTTAGGATTTTAATACTGCAAGTGGGAGGAGAGGGGAGAAATTATGTTTTGTAATTGACACTTTGGACATTTTTGTTTCATTTTGCTGCGGCACCCCTGTTAAGAAACACTGACCTAGCTGATATGCTTATCTGCAGTAGGGAAAACTTAGGTCACCATTCTGTATCCGCTGTCTGTCAGGCCTGTGGAAATCTCAGGACTTGATGGATAGAAATACACATCCTTTGATGGATAGAAACACACATCCTTTGGTAGATAAAACAGCTCTCATAAACAGTATGTGTCGCATGGTTTTATTCTTAGCTACCTGTTAGTTTTTAAAAATGTTTTTAGGTTTAGGATTTAATTGTCAGTGTATATGTTTGAGGTATCATGTATATTAAGGCTTCAATAATGTTTCTAATGAAATGATCATATAGTCATATTACCCAAATTCTGAGGAGATTAAGCCATGCCTGATTGCTAAACATTACAGGCTTCTCCTGCATCAAAAACATAAACACATATCCCTTAATTTCTTAACTCAAACACAGGTCTGCTCTTGAAATGGAAAACAAAAACATCTGCACAAAGCACTTTAACTTGAGTAGATCTGTAGTAAAGCCTGTGGTTTTCTTGTCTATGAAGGATAGTTACTGCGATTTTACACATGTTCAATCAAATTTGTTACCTCCAAGGATGTACCTTAAGCAGTCCAGCATGTTGTAGGCAGGAATCAGAACCATGTGTTGGTTATCAAATGAGCAGGATAGCAGTAAGGAACTGGGAATCTTTAACAAGTGCATATTATCACATATGTGACCAATAATGTCACAGAGGAGAGTGTCAAGTTGAGTAAGGATTAAAGAATTGAATAGTACCAAATATTTAATCCTGGATGGTCTCACATTTCTGAGAGGGACTACCTAAGCCCGTAAAGCACTCCCATTACGATGGGCTTCCATTCATATTTTGTTAATAAATCCCCTATAGGTAACCTTGAAATTTTAGTTGTAATGTGATTTCTTGCATATGAAATAATGCTCATGTTACATGTATGTATTAGACATTAACAGCGCATGTCACAAGTTATTGCCTATCTGACCTTACTTTCGTGACCTCTTATCCCCTGTGACGATTTTAAGTAAGTGTTTAAACCAGGCTTGCTCTCCTGCAGTCTTCTCCATCCATTCTTGATTAGCACAGATGCTTTATGACATGCCTCATATGGACAGCTTACTGAAAAGCAGCAGGTTTTCTCTCTACTGGGTACCTCATGGTGCTTGTCTTTGAACTAATGGTGTGAAGTGATCATAATACGTGTTTTTTTGTCTCCAGGCAAACCATTAATAAAGACCTCCAGAAATGTGCTTGTCAATATGGATGCTCCTTCTATCATCGCCGATGTTGGTAGTGTGGTGAAAACTATTCAGGGTACAAATGTAACAATCCTTTGCCAAGTAGCCGGTAAGATTAGAACTTGTAATCTGTTCATAGAATATTAAATGTGTGTTTTTTTGAAAGGGAGAGGACACATACGTACAATGCAGCAGTGATGTGAAGCATGTACATAGTTTAAAGTGGACTTATATTTAAGAGCCAACGTTTGGCTTTCAACCAGGAATATATTAGCATGGTTTAATGTGACAAAACAAATCAATAAATAAGTGTGCATGTTGCATATAATACCTGATTAGAAGCAACAGAGAGCGTCCACATATGTGAACGTGTCTAGGTACCCTCTGTCCTTCTATCCTTACAAGAGCCTTTCAGGAGTCTGATAGGTATTCCCCACTCTTTTACTGGATTACATTGGTGCTGTCATCTGGGGGAGAGGTTTATTAGCAGGAAGAGCTGTATCACAGAGACACTATAAAATAGAGAAAAAAAGTGGAAATGATTTATTTCACACTTTCTGATGAATAAGATTACCTCAACATAGGTCCATTATCAAGGGGTACTCCACTTCTCATGTGTGAATGGAGGAGCAAGGTGTAAGGGTAGTATCATTCCCCCTCCTGTCCCATTTCACCTTTTTCTTCTGTTCTGAAAACTCACACTCTTACACACTTTCATCCCCGATTACTTTGGATCTGTTTACGTAAGCTATACATCAAACCTTTATAAGTCTATAAGAATAAACAAACAGAGATCTGGACCCAAAAGTACAAAATATAGAGCAGGACTTCAGAAAAAAAGAAGTATATGTGAATTGTCTCCGCTTACCACTCCACTCAGAACCATTTATTGATTCCCTCTTAAGAAAATGATGCCATACATACTGTGACTTACCCATAACGGTTTTGGTTATCCTGTAAACTAATATTTTAGGTCCGCTTGGTTCCCTTTTGTGGGTAAAATACTCATACAAATAAAAAAAACAACTAAACCAGTCTGCAGTATAATACAGCTATATAATGCATTCACATGTATGAAAGTAGTATTAAACTCTCAAACTTTTTTTTATCAATATTGAATCCAGAGTAAATAAATATACATTGCCCAGCAAAGTATTTATTTCCAATGTTTGCCCAAACACTTGCAGTCATCATGTTTCCGAACATCTGGCTCCAACTCTCTCAGCTCTGCTTCGCTGAACTTCCTGAATCGAAGGGCTCAGGCGGCCAAAGCTAGCCGAAGGATCAGCCTGAGCTACGGCTGATCCTTCGGCTAGCTTTGTGAGCAAACCCCTAAAACTTTAAAAAATTAAAGAGTAGCATCCATTGTAAGTGATTTCATTAACACTTAAACACTTTTTGACTTTAATATCACTTTACATTTTAAATTTCATATATTTTTTTTAATGTTACTTTTTCTGTAGCCAGTCTCTGAATGTTTTCTATTTTGGGCATTTTGAGTGTTAGGGTCTGGAAGGCAGTTGCTTTATAGACTGTTTAAAAACAAATCAAGCCCCACACAGCTAGAACAGGACACTGCAAGTAAACAAGTCTGTCGTTATGGTCTGATGTGATGGTTCCCAGAACAGAGGTCTGTGGGAATCTCCAGGCATAATTCACTCAGTATACTTCAAAACCTCATTACTTTGTATTTCTCATTGTCACACATTCTTCTTCTGGAGCTATAAACAAATAACCCAAGGATATACCAGAATAATACATTGTGTGATTGTGTCTCTCAGTACTGTTAATGTCCATTCGAGGAGGGATAAACATGCTGAAAGACTTAAACATTTGCAGTCTTTGTTAAAAGAATTATACATTATCCTTAAAGGAAAACTGCAATAAAATATCTGGTTTAAGAGAAAATTGTCAGAAGGATGAGTACTTACAAATGTCCTGTCATTTCTCTGTCCTGTTTTACTTTTTGGCAAATACACTTCTGCCCCCTACTATTTGCATGCACTATTCTCTCCATATTCTTAGCATATGAAATTGCCAGAAAGGAGACTTGCATTGATGTGGTGACTGTTAGTGCTTGTGCTGTGCCCCCTGCATTCCTGACAAGCATCATGGCCTAGAGCCCTAGACATTATGGAGAGGTCATGAATGAGGTTGACCCTCTGTCTCTAGTCATGTAACTTTATTGTGTTTCCAGAAGAGGACCCCGTACAAGATTGAATATGGCATGGTTGTCAGAGCTGAGGGAAGAAAAATCTTGAGCCATTGTGCGGAAACAGGACCCAAAACAGGGTCTTTTTTACTGATACAATGTAGCTATCAATTTATTGATACAATTTAGCTATATTTAAGAATGGAAACATAACAACTAACACATGAGAAGTATTTTGTTTCCAAACAATCTCTACTGTCTAAAACTTACCTAGTGCTTCTCTATAGAAGCCAATAAAAGTTCAGAGAAAAGTCCAATTTGTGGGGAGCGCACTTCGGGGGGGGGGTTCTGGGTATTGAAGGCTGGTGTGCTGCTCCTGGTGAAATCAGACCTGGGTGCCTGGTGTGTATCCTGGAAAAACAAAAAGAGAGAACAGGAGTGTCACAAGCTAGCGCAGTTTTTAAAGGGGCAACACAATATTCACTGATATGTACTCACATGTGGCGTGGTTTGAAGGAAGCTCAGCACTTTGTGACCTTGAGGAGTGGTTTCAGGTGGGTCATCCAGTGGCTGCGAGGGACTAAGCTTGGTACACCAGGTGGGGAAGAAGGATCTAGTACCAAATTGAAAGGGGAAAACCAAAAAATAGAGCAGACAATGTGTGTAACTTGATGTTGCAATGGAAGAGAAAAAGAAAAAAAATGTTTTTTGTCTTCCACCCGGCGGATCAAACTTAGTCCCTCGCAGCCACTGGATGACCCACCTGACACCATGCCACTCCTCATGGTCACAAAGTGCCACATGTGAGTGCATATCAGTGAATATTTGTGTTGCCCCTTTAAAAACTGTGCTAGGTTGTGGCGGTCAGGTTCTCTCTTTCTATGGAAGCCATAGCCTGCTATAGGTGATTTATGCTAAGGCGTGGCATTTCTCCTAAATCAGGTGACATTTCATGTGTCTATTGGGTGATCCATATGTATTCCAGAATCCTACTACAATATGGTGTGCTGGTGACATCTTTAACAAGTTTCAGTATTGGGTGATCCAGTCCCGTGAAAACCCTGCTCCTTTTTTTACTAAGCCCTTACTTTTTTCTGGGTTGTTGCAGCAGGTTCAAGACATTAACCCAGTTCGCTGTCTGAAAAGGTATGCCAGTTAACAGATATGCTACCTTGTTTATTGAATCATGTTATTAATAGGTTAAACAATTGGTAACCATAGCAATTGTTTTGGCTCTTTCAGCATTACTGACAGCAGATATGCCTGTGCATACAGTATAAAGCTAGCAATACACAGCTAGATAGGAGGACTGATTTCTCTCTTTTAGCCCACAAGTCTAAACAAGAGAAATTATTCTATTCCCCCCATCCATGCTAAACAATATCGAAAAAGGAATCTCTAGTGCCAGCTATTGTATTCATATAGTGGGCACCCAAACAGTGACTGCATCTGATTGGATGTACTTACAATTTTCCACAGGTCTCTTCCAGTTTTTTAACCAAATTTTGTTGCGCTGGGTGGTGCTCACAGGGCCACCTACAGCTCAAATTTGCCCAGTACAGCAAAAATCGAATGGGATTCTGGGCTGTGTATGGCCGGCTTAAGGATGCTCATAGATAAGCAGACATGGGAAAGTCCTGTCCATCTATCATAGATTTCAGACCTGCCAAAGTAGCTGCTTCTTTTCTTCCAACTCAAAGCAATGTTTGACTGTACTGTTTATAGTTATACTGGACATACACTGTTCAAATTATGTCTAACTCCTGCTGACTCGGGCAAAATTTGAGCTGTGTGAGGCCAAATGTTTTTGCCGAAAGTTGATTTTTTATTTGACTTATGTCAAAGAATATTGCCTACGTTGGTTTGGGATCACGGAGTGTGTTCTGGCACTATAAAAGCACCCTTCTCTCTATGGTGTTTTGTTGATGAAGCCAGGCCAAAAGCTGACAGCCTGAAGGTGACTTCAGTCAATTAGAAGCAGTAACTGTTTGGATATTCAGAATACAATAGCTCCACAAGGGTAATTCTCCCATCCACGTTAAACCATCCAGCATTTTACCAGTATATGTCCAGCTTTAAGATAAAGGAAATTGTCATCAAAAACGTGTTAACATTTCTATGACACTTGTGCTTTAATGTACTGTTTGCAAATAACTGTTTGTGCATAGGCATTCTAAGGAAAAAGGTTGGTTTGAATTATACGGTAGTAATGTCACAATAAGCTGATGATATTTGTCTGTGGAAGATTGCTTTCAGTCATTACTGCAAGAGGGATCGTAAGACTGAAAATGACCTATGTAGCTGTGGTGTATTAAACAAAGAATGAAAAAATATTGATACCCCTCTTATCATAGAAATGCCAGATCTCAATGAGAGGATTGTGACAACACTCAGTCCCCTCTCTGGATAGGAGATGTAAATGTTTACTGGATGAGCAGTTTAGACAGTACACTGTAACTATGAAGATGAAGGATGAGCTGTGCAATGTAAATATGACATTTGGCTCCCGCCATCGATGCCAGTAGACATTGGAATGGGCTGTCTGTTGACAGGTTTTGATAAGCTGTGGCAGAAGATTACATTAGCGAAAAAATGATGACACTTAGTGCATTATGGCCCCTGGAGATAACATTAATGTGCATTCCATAGAAGGACAGAAGGCACTTGGGATGTCCATAAGTAGATTTTATAATATAGTTTTCTTTTTTATCTGGCATAGGATCGTATTTATAACATTTTAAGTTGCATTTAAATGATGTTTAATGTTAGCTGATTTAATTCCAACATGCAAAACTTTATACACATTATTTATTTGATATAGAATGATGTTTAGTACACTCTGCCAGAATGAAAACAAAAAGCAGATCTGGTTTTTTAAACACATTGGCCCACACAGACCCTAGTTCTGTCACCCCCCCAAAGGAGCAATAATGTTTGTGTATGTACTGTAGACTGCTAATTCAGTCCATAAAGTCAAGTAAATTCTAAAGTAAAGGTAAAATAACAATTGCACTGTTTAAAGAGGCCCAAAAGCATCCCGAGAATCATTATTGCTTCTGGCAAATGTCAGAGTTTCAGGATTGCCAGTCCAGGCCTGGTAGTGTACTGTGTTTAGTGCAGAAATTGGAAGCTACCCTAAAGAAGATCTGCGACCACATAAGTGAGAAGCTTGATGGTGAGCCTCTAGTGTGCAGGTTAGATTGTAACATGTATTTTGACCGTTTAGGTAATCTAGTGCCCGGCTTGTAAGGCTAAATAAGACTTGACCTAGACATGGAAAAATATAAATACTACTGTCAGTTCTGATCAGCATGGACTCTGTGCACAGATTCCCTCCTGATTGAAGCAGTACGGAACGCATGTCACTGTGGCAAGTTTAAGGTTAAAACTGAACTTACCGGACCTATGTTGGTCTATGGGGAGTCTGATGTAAGTGGACATGTGTCTGTTCACATCAAACTACCCACAATCCATCACAATCAGGTCCGCCAAAACGGAACTCTGCTCCCCTTTGTTTTCTGGACCTGGATGGAGTCGGGGGGTAATCAGATATAAACAAACGCACATCTGCCGATAGACTAACATTGGGCTTACAGTCAGATCTCTCTTATATGTTCTCGATCAGCTTTCTGGCAGAGTGTACACATACAGTATTTGTTGCATACAAGAAAAGCAAATTGTATGGCCACCAACATCTATGGTCATTGATCAGTGGCAGGGAAGATCTACATAACTGGATTCAAACCCTGCTTTATAGCACCTCTTGGTAAAGGTCAACTATAAGGGTAGCCATGTGTGTTACAATCTGACTGTACAATCTGTGAACAAATTTCTTCGTTTACCAAACTATTAGGAAAAGCTAAACAAGCCATTTAATTTGTATATGTTGGAGCAGGTCCTTACATTACATAGTTTTTAGTAGAATCAAAAGGAGATTGTACAATTAGATGGTATTATCTATGGTCATCTTAAAGCAGATTAGTGCTATTATTAAAGTCCAACTCTAACTAAAGCATTTTATTTTGGATAGAGCAGAAAAGGATTACAGCCCCTGGCAGCTTTTCCCTTCCGCCTGTATCCCTATAGGGGAAATGTCCCCTCACTTCATGTTAACATAGTTAGTGATGGGAAGCATTTGAGCAAATAGAAAATACAAAAACCAAAAACACATGTGTAATAGATAGTGGAAGGATTGGGACTTCTGACCACTCCTGCTGTCTGTGGCTTGTTGTGCTGGTGACCCGCCCCCCATTTAGTGTCATAAGGGACCAGGGGGGTCACATAAATAAAAACCTAATTAAAACCTCACAGATTTTTTTAAGTCTATCCACTCCATCCAAAAGTATAAAAAGAGAAAATGGTTGCAATTGAAAGCATATGAGCTAAAAATTAAAAGCAAAAACAATTACTAGGATTATTAGTTCATTAAAAATCACAGAGCTCCAATGGGAAAAATCGAGCATGTGTCCTTATTCTATAAAACAGAGATAACAATACGCTTTTGCCACCTAGTGGTGATCACGTGAAGGATGAAATCTGTAGCTATCTGTATTTAAACTGCATGAAGACAAGTAAGTACTTGTCATAACTACAAGGTTAAATATGTGCAAAGAAGTTTTAACAAAATGTATTGAAGTACTCTTTAGTACACTCTTTAGAGGGTATACTTTGCAGGGGAATTTTCAGGGTAGTGAATGTGGTGAGAATTTATTTTGCAATGAATTTCCAATCACATGCAAGGGAGATTAAAAAAAAACACAGGATTTTTGCTTGCACATAATTGGACAATAGAAGTCAACAGAGCTTCACCTTATTCACTTATGGTAAAGGGAAATTCCCCTGCAAAGTGAACAGCTTATTTGCTGTTAGTAAATCAACCCCCAATGAGTTTGTGTTTCCTGACTTTAGGCACCGGACACACCAAATGTCATTACTGTATCCAAGGAGGGTGGTGGTACTTTCATGACAGTTGGTGAGACTGAAGTCTTTCCTCGAATTAGGGATGCACTGATACCAAGTACCGTACTCGGTACAAGTACATGTACAGATACTTTTCCATCTCCAAGACTAGACTAGAGAAACATTCAAAAGTTAGGAGGCAGCTGTCATTTTTAAGGAACATACGGAGCTCCTGGGATTTGTACATCTCTGTTTTATTGTATGATTTTGTTTTTATAAATATATAAAAGGGATGCACCGATACCATTTTTTCAAGTACAAGTACTGATACTTGTCCAAGTACTCACAGATACAAGTACTGATACAATTTTGTTTATTGTCATGTGACAGTTTTTCTGAAACAATACAGACTAATGATTTCAGGACAGTGGTGAAGCGCCAGAACCAGGTCCCAGCTGCAACCACATCAACCCTGGCAGTTCTCATGAAAATGCCAAGTATCTGCACTGGTATCTGAACTGGTATCTGGACATCCCTAGCTCGAATCCATAATGAAAAAATTGAGGATTGTTTTAGACATATTTTGATGTCTGTTCTCAGTCATTATTTTTACTTTTAAATGATTAAAATGACTGGTAAGTTCACTTTAAAGTAATCCTGACACAACCTGGATAATTCAAACTGAACTTTTGAAGACAAAAGGCATAAGCATAGATTACTTTTAGTAAAAAAAACAGCATATATAAATGATCAGTAGATGCAGAGTAACAGGGAAAGTTATCTTTTCTTTTTTTATTAGTTTCTTACACAAAATTTGGCTCCAAAATGTCATACTTGAGTGACTTAATGTCAATTAAACGACAGACACCTCTCAGTATAGCCTTTCCATTATCCCCTTTCATTTACCTAATATTTTCCCCAGAACACTTCATGACGTGCACTGGGAGAACTGAAGTTTGAATGTAGTAACTGTGGGGCAACACCGCAGAGGTCTTACTTAGGCCTCATTCACACGAGAAAAGGCCGGCATGTAGAGCTCCGTGCACGGCCGCATCGGGCAGCTCCCGGGAAGGACAGGTGTTGCGTGTGATTAGTACGCAGCCCCTGTCCTGCTCTATGGGAGTACGTGGCTGTACGCCACCCTGCACGTACATACGGGTGTCCGTACTCGTTCACTGACAGGAAGGATCCGCATCCGTACGGACCTGCACTTGGGGTGAGCTTATGGCCTCATACTCCCATAGAGAAGGACAGGGGCTGTGTACTAATCACACGCAGTACCTGTCCTTCCCGGGTGCCCGGTACCCGATACGGCCGTGCACACAGCATGGAGCTGTACGTGCCGGCTTTTTCTCGTGTGAATGAGGCCTAAGACAAATGATAAATCTAGTTGCTAATGTATTATGTATATATAGGTTTTTTTTACAGTAAAATAACATTTTATTAATGCAAATTTTGTTTCTGCAGGTCTTCCTGAGGCCGATGTGACTTGGTTCAGAGATAAAAGCAGATTACACCACGTTCCCCACCATAGTGATGCATCTTTGTTCCTGGCAAATATAACGTATCCTGATCAGGGACTGTATATGTGCAAAGCAACTAACATACACGGGGAGGTATCAGAATCAACCCTGCTTCAAGTTATAGGTATATATACTTTTATTAATAAAGTAGATTGTATGTGCTATTTTTCCAGCAAACTGCCTAGTACCTAAAGCTGAAATGTAGTGTAACCATACAGTTTCCCAACTTCCCCTCCTTGCCGATCAACATGCAATTGACATTTTTCAATCAAATAATTTCGTTTTTCAAGAAATACTTTTTTTTTAGATTTGGTAATGTCATCACTGGGTTTGTCTGCTGCTCTTTGCTCTGAGTTTGTTGGAAGAGGCCAGCAGGCTCCTGTAAACATCACCACATTCTGCATCAGGTCTTTTCAAAAGAATTATAGGATCCTTTTAGGTGTGCCTACTTCTCCCTGCTGGCCACTGGGTGTTACAGATGTTAGCTGTGCAGTCTGGTGATTGTTTGACTGGTTACACGCACCTCTAAGGGGGTGCCAGGGATATGTTCTTTAACGTAGAGCTTAGGAACAAAATTATTGATGGCAGAGAAAGCTCATAGCTGTGAGAAGGCCGAAACAACAGTATGGATCAGGGGAGAAGTAACTGATGAATGATGGGAGTCATTCAGAGGGGAAATTAAGGAGAGCTCAAGATAGCTGCAGCTTCAAAGCTATCGCACTTTCTAAAATCTTTAACATAGGGACAATGTTTTATGTATCCATTTTTTTAATAAATCCTAAAGAGCAGTCAATATGTGCTAATTTAAGTACCTTATAGCTTACTAATCACACGCAGCACCTGTCCTTCCCGGGAGCTGCCCGATACGGCTGTGCACGCAGCATGGAGCTGTACATGCCGGCCGATTCCAGTGTGAATGAGCCCTACATGTCCCCGGGTACATAAAATAAAACATTTTTGTTTCTTAATACTCACCTGATCCCTGGATCCACCAACAAGTGCAGCCTCTCATCTCCCCCGCTGTCAGAAGCTGCATACAGAGTCTGATGCTATTCTGCATTGCTGTATAATGGTATTGCTGGGATTTGTAGTCCTCTATTGCTGATGCTATTCTGCATTGCTGTATATTAGTATTGCTGGGATTTGTAGTCCTCTATTGCTGATGCTATTCTGCATTGCTGTATAATGGTATTGCTGGGATTTGTAGTCCTCAATTGAATGGAGCAGGCTTCCCGGGTAATCAGGAAGCCGGCAGCGGGTAATGACATGCCAACCGGCTTCCTGATTGCCCGGGAAGCCGGCTGCATGTTGTTTGTCCGGCTTAATTGTGGTTGGCCGGGAAACTGTCTTAAATAAAATATTAACCATTCTGTAAGTAAAACGTAATTTTCTGGCAGTGCCCCTCCCGAGAATAGACTCTGGATCCGCCCCTGGTCCAGATATACACTCACCAGAAGGAGTGGGCAGCTCTCTGTTGCTCTTTGACAACACTTCTTTCTCCCCTCGGCCTCCTGATCATGGGGGCGAGAGGAGAAGAAGCAATATGGTAAGCTGCTATAGCTTCCTGTATCGCTCCCTGCACAGTGACAGTGTACCAGTTGTGTGCTGTCACTGTGCAGTATGCACCTAATAAACAGAGGCTCCTGAGGGAAAACTTTGGGTTTTCAATCCTTCCTTATTCTATCCAAAAAAAGAAAATGGCTTTAGACATGCTTTAATATTACTAAATATATCAGATTTTACAATAAGGATTTATTCACATCAATGCCATTACCAAAGTTAATTTAGACTCCTAATAATGTTTCCGATTGGAGCGGTACAAAGCTCAGCATTGGTGTTGCATACAGCACTTTGGGTATACTTTACATAGGGTGCAGTAATCACCACCTTCTAGAACCCCTTATTATCAAATTGAGATGACAGATCTTTTTGACCCACACTTTCAGAGCACACCTGTGAGTTGGCTTTAGATGTGTTATTACATAAAAGACTGCCATATTTAGCTTGGCAGCCAAAGCAAAATCGAATTGCTAAAATTATGGTTAAAAAATGATCATAAGATTTTGCTATTATTATCCAATGATTGTATGACTGTGTATTGTCATTTTATATTTCATTGTATGATTTTGTAAAAAATTCTTGCAGAACCAGCTTTGGACCTGTTTGGAGTTGAGCGACTATTGATGCTTTTTGCTGAACTTGGTCCTGGATTACCTTCTGTGCTCACATCTTTTGTTGGCAACAGCTTAATGGTGAACACAGGTGAAACGGCATTGATTGGTAAGTTCCTATAATACAAGGCTGGGAAAAGGGGGGCAGGAGGGGCATCTGTGTTATCATAAGGGGGAACTGCATGCCCCCTCCCTATTGCCAGGGCTGAGTGTTCTAGCACCAAGCACTACTCGATTATGCATGCATTGGAGTCACAAGGAGGCATTTGTGATCAGTGCTTCCCTTGATGCAGACCAGCAGGAGACCTGCCATCAGTACTGAAAGCCGCCAGGGAGTCCCGTACTTCCTCTATCCACATGACCCATCAGATGACCGAGTAGAGAAAAGCATTTCCTTTCCCAGTGGTGCCTGTACTAATAGCAGGTCTGAAGTAAGTGAGGGAAGGGAGGTGGAATATATGCTGTATTCAGCCCCCATTGTGCCCACCAGCCCCCTGACAGCCTCCAGCTAGCTGTTGATCCTCTAACCTCCAACAGTTTTCTCAACATTCCAGATTGCCTCTAAACTCCCTGAGAGCCCACAACCTACAGTGATCCCCTACATCCCGCAGTACTGCCCAGCTTCACACAGTACCCCCAACCTCCCACAGTGCCCCAGCCAGCTGCAGAGCCTTTAGTTCCCCTTAGTGCCCGCAAACCTTCAGTTGCCCCAGGACCCTTATCCCCCACAGGGCCACCAAGCCTGCTGCAGAGTCCCCTAGCTTCCTTCAGAACCCCCAAACTCCCAAAACAACACCCTGCCCCATGCAGGGCCTTCCAGCCCCATGCAGAGCCCTTAGTGCACTTCAAAGCCCCCTTTGAGATTTTAGTGATTGGGTTTACATTTACCTTAAACAGTGTATTAGTATATTAAGTTCCAGCAATCTCAAACACCATAATATAAACAAGGTAATCACCAATGATTTAAAAAGGCCCTTTTTTATTTTCTTAAATATCAACAAAATTGTAATACAAGTGGACAGTATCCTCAATGAGTAATTATTTCAGAAGCTTAGCATGCAGCGAAATGGCAAGGAGTTCAGGTAATCATTCACAAGTAACACATATGTATTGCTTGTGTGCAATAAATAAGAATCTGCAAATTTTTATTTCTTATAAAATGCTTCTGCTATTTGCTTTTTATGCCAAGCTTGGACCTGTCTGCGTGAAATACACGGCTAAATCTCACGTGAGACTTCACAGTTAAAGTTTATCTGTAGCCTATTGTGTTTTTGCTCTATTATTATTTTTTCAAGAGGCTGACATCTGTGTCAGTTTCTCATGCCTTTGCAGCATGCAACTTCAGATCAGCAGGATTTCATATCAGCTTGCACCTCTTTTTTGTAGAACATGCCAGTGGGACACTCCTTAAAGTTTGTTATTGTAGAAAAAGTTCCATACATCATAGCGAGATTCTAATTTCTCCAACGTTTCCCTTGTGAATTCTATTGGAGATGTATCGCTGTGCTAGGATAAATCTCATGCTTACTGTAAGTAGGACTTGAGTTAAAATTGCAGGGGACAGAGTAGCATCCTTGCATCTTGGCCATGTAACAGATGCTCAATAGTTACAAGCAATTTTTCTGGTTGTGAGCATTACTTCTGAATTTCAGGCCACCTCTAAACTCCTTGGGGGGGATTATTAACACCTACAGCTGCTGCTCAGGCTACCAGGCAGAGGAAGTTTTTAGAGTACCATACATGCAACTATGTTACCATCATGAAATCATCACTGTGGGATCCCAGTGCTCATGGAACCTGCTTAAGTGGGCAGATATCTTCCTAACAGTAATTCGCAAGGATATATTTTCCCATCTATTGCCACCTAGTGTCTGCAGTGACACTCAGCAGGAACCACTGGCTTGTATGGATACTGAAGATTCTAGTAATATCTCCTTTGTCTAGGATGTACCAGTTAGAATTGGGCATATCCTATTTCTTTGGGCTCAGATTGTCCTTTCAAAGAGAATTAGTGTCCTTACAGGATTCTAATTTCTATGCTGAAGCACATGATAGATAATCACTGTATGCAAAATCATAAACCATAAGGTTATAGGTTTAGCTTGATGTGTTTTTAAACATAACTTTTATATGCGCCTTGTATTACAAATATTTCATACGCGACAGGATTGCCTTGGGGACAAATGTGTCTTTACTGCAGTCAGTCATTCTCTTGCCACTGGTATGTGAGTGACCTAAGCTTGAAAAAACCTTACTTGAGAATTAATTAGAAATGATTTTTATAATATCCTATTGTCATATCTTGTAAGTCTTTACCATATTCATGTTATAACATACTCATGTACTTGATCCTAAAATTTCCAGTATCTTGTGAACTCCATGGTGGCAATAATAATGAATTGTGAACTCCATAGGACAATAATTAGAACCTCCAGCTGCTGCCCAAACAAATGCTTTGTCATAGCATGAACACATTTAAAAAATAGTCTTTATACCATATTATATTTATGTATTTTATCATAAAATTTCCAAAATAAACTGCAAGTATTTTGTAAAAATAGTTTAGAGGTTTAGAAACTGTTCTAAACCTCAGTACTGTTCAGTAATGCTGGAAATAACCTACTCCCTACTGAAGGGCTAGATAATTGTTTTCTGTATGGTTTTTGAAGTGGTGGATTAGGAAAATAGGCTTCTGTTTAAAGTCTAGTTCAGTTTCAATATTTATGCTGGAAGGTCTGTAGCCCCAACAATGCATCCATTTGCCTGTACAAATCGCCCTTTTCATTTAACAGAACCAAATCCAAGGAAGAAATATGTACACTTCAATGTTTTTCGTCACACTAAAATCCATTGTCAGTGAAATAAAAGTCCATGCAGGTAGAGGTCGGTGCCTACATAAACCTGCTAATACCATCTGTTTCATTCTGACAGTACCGCAGCCCATATCATATCATATCGATGGGTCAACAGAAATGTGTAAGAGGTTGGAGGGAGAGGGCAAACTACTACCAGGCAGTGATGGAGCTTTGCTTGTTCAGCACACACTGGCATTAAGGCACAAGGAGAGTGGGGGAGAGGGGTGAAGCAACTTCAAAGTGATTCTTCTTTACAGTTTCTTGTAATAAATATCTTAAAAAAAGACAATGTGGAAAAAATATGATAAGATATATAGACCACAGACCATGAAAGTAGAGCTCCAGTTTTGTTTACAAGAAACCACCACCTTTCCCCAGACTAGTAAAGATTTTAGTACACTTTATTGGTTCTTTTGTTCTGGTATAGACAAAAATGTTTGCTTAATGAAAAACAGGTTGTTTTGTGCTAGAGGGGCACCTGATTCTCCTAGTTACCCTCTTGATAAATCCCACTCACACTTTTAAAAGAATAGATGGGAACCTTTTTTACTGCTGTTATACAGCTGGTAGGAAATATGACACGAAAATGGCACAGAAACACAAGGAGATAAGTATGCTTGACCATGTATTTATGTCACCGTTGTGATTTGTAGTCCCCTAAAAGTAAACATTAAAAAAGTAACTATTTAGAATTTTACAACCAGTAGCAATTATCAGCATTGACTTCTTGCAGAGTTCCAGTCCTGTACCTAGTCTTTAAAGTGTGTCTAAACATAAGAACAAAGGTGTAATATATTGCAGCTTACCAGTTCTCAGATGTGGTGGCTGCATTCCTTTTCTTTATTTTTCTTTATTTCACCTTCATTTTCCTTTGATGATCCTGACAGTAATAACATTCTTGTAGGATGATAATACTTACCATACTCTATCTCTAAAGGGAGCAGCATTCTGATCCCAGGACAGGTCTACAGAACACCTTCAACTTTCCTATTTTTCATAACATAGGGTGGAGGTGTCTTGTAGTCCACCCAGATAGCTCTGAACAGTGTAATTGATAAGTACAGCAGAGAGCACCAGAAATTATTTAGCAGCTCACGAGATTTTTTACACTTGTTAAACAGATATAACAAAAAGGTTTTAATGGTATAATTTACAGATCAAAAGGGAGCAAATAAGATAAGTTTAATATTACTGTTTACATACACTTTTAACTAATTGCACACATTCATGAGGGTTCATGCACACGTAAGCCCTTACATAAAACGTGCATAGGTGCATTCTACTTAGATATGTGCGATTTGCTTCGTTCCGAATCAAAATTCAGATGGATTTTCTGATATTCAGAGATTCGGACACATCCAAAAACTAAACTGAATCGGACATGTGACTTTTGTGGCCAATCAGATGTTTTTTTGGTTTAATGCATTCGAATGTGTCTGAAGACAAATTTTCGTTACGGCATGGGAGCCATATACAGTATATACATATAATACTAAAGCTAAGGCTCCTAGACCTGAATGGCGTTCGGGATCCGAATTTCCAAAGTGCATTTGGGTCTGGGAGCCTCAGCTTTAGTAATATATGTATATGGCTCCCAGACCCGAATGGCATTCAGGATCCGAATTGCATTCGGGAGCTCCTGATTTGGGGATGCTGTCATTTGGGGATGCTGATCTGTCATTGCCATTACGATTGGGCGGAGCCAGCCGTGAGATCACGGCTGTGTCCACCCAGCTGTCATTTGCGGGGATAACGGCCAGCCTTCAAGCTGCAGCATATGCCTGCATCTCGGCTGAGCCGCTTGGCCGCCTTCGGCTACTGTACGGGCTATAGTGAAAAGCAATAGCTGCATTCGAACTGAAGGGCTCTGGTGGCCGAAGAGAGCGGAAGGATCAGCCAAAGCTACAGCTGGATCATTCAGATGTTTAGTGAATAACCCCCCTAGAAATATACCAACTTGATAGTAGGTGTGTGAATTTCATATGTCTTGTGGTAAAGAGTAGAGTTTTGGATTCACTTTCATTCTAACATTGCAGTAGTAAGCATTATTGTGTATCTGCTGTAGATATGATTTTCATATGTGAATGGTTCATTTGTTTTTTAATTATACATTTAAACCAAATAAAATGTGTTTTTCTTAATTGCTAAGAACTGCTTTGGACCTTCAGTGCAGGTACATTAGCAGCTTACTTGTAAACCAATTGCATATACATTTATTGGCAAATTTATCTCTGACTGGCATTCACCTTTAACG